TACTATAGTTACGGCAAGTTACAGCCATGTGACAACTATCATTCGACTTCATTGGGACGATTCTACGGCATCTCTAAGCACAACCCTTATATAAGCACATTTTGAAAAAAATTTACTATGTGCCCAACTGTGTGATTGTATGGGAGGACGACTGTATCCGAGTTTTACGTAGCTAATTTAATTAATATTTTTTTAATATTTTTTGTTTATATTCCATTTTAAAAGAAAAATTAAATGACAAATTCGGAGCAGCGTGACGACCAAATACAAGTTTATTTAAATTTTTTTTTACATATTTACAAAATTTCATTTTTAGTTTTGCGCGATAATGTGCAGCTTTCTTATTGCTACAATCTAACCCACAAATATAAATTATTAATGATAAAAATTTATAAATAAAGGTCGTTAAACAATTTAGAAAAGAAAAATAAAATAAAATTTGTACCAAATAGATTTCAAAGTACTATATATAATTAATTGAGAATACATTTAATAATTAGTGGTGCAACCGCCATAGCAACATCTTTCACTACATTCAAAATATCATTTTTCTTATGCATCTTTCTATCAAGTTGGGTTTGCAAACTATTTATTTTCTCTTGATGCTCTTCTCTGATTTGATTAAGCATTCGATTATAATCTTCTACTAGTTTGAACATTCGATCATTTTCATCCATTAATCGATTGATTACTTGCTGATTCTGTCGTCTTTCTTCATAAATTATTTGATAATTTTGGTGTTCTTGATTTTGAATGCATTCTTCGATGGTTTTTACTTTTTCTTCAAGTTGTTCTTGAATTTTTCCATTTTCAATACTAACATGATTTATTTCTGTTAGTATCTCATCTTCTTCTTGTAAAATTTCATAATACTTTCTTTCTGTTTGTTGACGTTCTAATATATCATTTGCATATTCATCATGCAATGCACCATTAGTATTCAAAAGCTTAATGGCATCTACATATTGGTTAGCTTTAAATTCGTTTAGCACCTAAAATAAAATAAAATTATATTATTACACAAATTTTATAGCAATATTAATAGCAAAGAAAAATAAGTATATATTTACTTGTGCAGCTTCCTGCCCTCGTATTGCTTCAGTTCCAAAAATTTGTTCAAATAATTCGATAGCTTCTTCAAATCCCTCCGTATCCTGCGTAAACATAATTAGATTAAATCAAAAATTTTTAAATAAATGTGTAAATTAATAAATAATTAATTACTTACAAAAAGATTTCCTATTTCCAATCCAGGCTCGACATGATCATTCCAGAGATTATGAGCACGCTCTTCATTATAATTTTTTAATGCGGTAGAGTTTTCTTTATAAAATTCATCTTTTAAAGCGGCAATCTTATCGTGAAACGTTTTTAGGAAAGTTTGAATTTGGTTTGCGTTTCCAAGGATTCTTTGAATGAAATTTTTATGTGCATATTCAAATGCGATAGTATGAGTTTCGTCAAATGTATCCCAAGAAATTGGAAAACCCATATTATTCATCATGTCAGTATAAATTTCAAGACAAGTTTCATGTGCCTTTTGAGCAGCGTAATTAATGGTTACTTCATAGGCGCTTGGAATTGATAACATAGTGTTTGCTGGGTCATTTATTTGTTCAACACATTTTTCAAGATATTCGGCAAAAATTGACCCTGTCATTGCTGAAGCATTAAGATACTTGGGAGGCAATTCTTCAAAAATATTTGTTACTGCTTCTTCAATCTTTGTAACAAAATTAGAATCTAATTGGTAGGTATTAATTTTATCCATATTTCTCATATCTTCTTGTCCAATTCCTGGGGGCTATTTTAAAGTTACTTAATGAAGTTTGCAAAAAAAATTTAGAATAGGAATAATACTTACTGGAATCGCATAAACTTGAAACTTTTTAAAAAACTTTGTAATGTCATTTGCGGCTTGTTATGAAATAAAATATAAATATTACTAATTAGATTATTTATAATACATCATTTTAACTTTGATAAATGTTTAAATTTACCATCATCATTGACATTTGATAATCTTTCAAGAAAATACTCTACAAAGTCTGGTGGACTATCTAATTGAAAATCTCGAAGTAGAACGACCAGATTTGGTAAAAATTGGAATTCATTTGGAGGTTGGATCTGAGATACGATTTTAGTCATTAGGAATAATTTGTCAATGTCGTCTCTTCCAATAATTCCATTAATATTATATATTAGGGTCGAAGAGATGGCCAGACATAAAACAAAAAGCTTGTTTGCCCATGGAACTTCCTGATTAGGATCATTAATGCCCTCGCAATCGATAACAACTACACCTAAATTTATATACAGCAATACATAATTAATTTTTTAATTAATTGTTGATGTTAATATATAGGTTCAGTTCATACCCAACTCTAAACGTCACATGACTATTTGTCACATTTACCCTCAATTTACGTACGTACTTACGTACGTACTTACAACTTCCAACGTAATTCTATATTTACGATAAACTTACGTTTGCCCTCATGGTAGAATGGAGTATTCCAAATATCAATACCTTTGGTACATCCGTTCACCGACGAACCAAGTTCGAATCCATCATGGCGTCCTAGAAGAGTATTTGCAAAATATGACTTTCCCCTCCGATAAGACCCAACTTCATATCAATATGAGTATTTATAATTATTTAAATTAACTTTATGCTATAATAAAATCAACCATAATGCTATAATACTATAACCTACCAATGGTTATAACTGCGATAGGTTCTTCAATTTCTTTCAAAATTCTCAGCGCTTGTTCTTCTAACAGAATTGTATCTCTGTCATCTAGACTCATACAATTTAAAAGGTGTATAGGTTTTCCTATACGAAGTGGAATTTTTTCAGAAAATGGATTTGCCGACATGGTTATTTTTTAGATTATGAAAAAAAAAAGTTTGAAATTCATGATACTTTTCAACTTTAATTTATATAGTTTCGATTAATGCTAATGCAGTACGATGATATTTGCTATAAATGTAGACAATGACTTTGAAGTGTGTTTTGAATTCGGCCCTTTTGGCATGTTTATTAAGTTTAAAATTGTATGAAAGCACATAACCATACGTAAAATTAGATGTTAAACACTTTTACTTAATGAATTAAATCAAGTTGTCATAGTAAAATTTTGAATTATTGATCTTTCTTTTTCATGTAATATTTAAAGTTTCATCGCTTGATAACACAGTTCACATAATTCTGCTGTTTTTGTTCTAGATCCACGGAATTAAGAATCCGGCTAATTTAACGGTTACAGAATAGCAACGAAAATCTGTACAATTACAGAATTATGTTTATTGGCTGAACGATCATCCCGATATTTAAATTACGGAATTATCAAATTATTGCCGATTTTTTATCGGGAAATTAATAGAACAAAACACTTTATTTGGGAACTTATAATTGTTAAACACCAGCCGAAATTCGCTTTATTAAAGCGAAGAAGTAGTACTTTTGTACATTTTACATAGCTAACTAGCTAACAAGTCGACATATTCCCTATGCATTATGTTAACCCTGTGCCCTAACACAGTAATTTTATTTACTGAAGGAGGGCGTCGTCATTTAAAACATTGTGAGACTCGCATTAGAATTTTTGTGAAACCAACATCAGAGGTTTGTTTATTATTGATGCACATTATACTTGTGGCTAAGGATGTTAAGGGTTCGACTCGATTCTAAAGAGTCGAGTCTTTACTCTACTCGCATTTCATGTGCATCTTGAACATTTAATATAACTAAAAAAAAAAAAGAAAAAAAAAAAGCGTATTCATACATATTTTGCATGCGCATACATTTCTTTTTAGTGCTATATTTCTGTATTTAAATATACAAAATGCGAGTCGAGTTCCAATTCTGACTTGGAACCGAACTTTACAGCTGTTCTCATAAATTCTGGGACAACTGATAAAAATCATTTCGGCCGAATTCGATAAGTTTTGAATTCGGTATTATTGACATTGGATTTTTGACATTATAGTAATTCCGATAACACAGAATTCAAAAACTTATCGAATTCCTAGAATTTATGAGAACAGCTGTAATAAAGGCTCGACGAGTCGAGTCGAACCGAACCGAACTTTTTAACATCCCTACTTGTGGCCGAAATCGTTCGGTCATATCGGCCACATGGCAAATATTTAATCAATAATTTGTAAATGTGGTAGAAATCAGTCTCATATACCAGATCCACAGAAGTTTATGGAAGACTTTTGGTATTTTGGTTATTTTCCAGAAAATTTCAGCAGACTCCGGAATTTTCGGCAATCGATATTTAATACGAGCCGAAACTTCAAGGATCTAGCCGAAATTTTCTGAAGTTCACTAGAATGGCTACAAGTCTGTCTATGCTATTTGAGATCTAAATAAACTGTTTGCAGAATCTACAAGTGATTTTACTTTTACTGCTGATTTCATTAATTTTGGAACGTCTGGTAAAAAAAAAAATTGACCAAATGATTAGTCGATTCAAGAAGTTATTGATTTCGCTAAAGCCGGTACGTACTTACGTAAGTAGGTTTTAAATTGATTACTGATCGATTTGCAAATTAAAACCTATGTGAAACATATAAATTACTACAAGCCTTTAAACGACCTTTTCTTCTATTAAAGCCTTATGATACTTTATATAATTCAGGTTTAGTAGACGTGGTTTTCTTACAAGTGGCGAAAATCTTTCAACACATAAATATCTTTGAAATTGTTTGAGAACTCAACTTATTGAAGATTTATTAACACTTAGGTTTTAACAATTGTTCGAATTTATAACCATTATAAATTTTTTCGACTATCTTCCGGCGAAAGTGCTTCGAAATTATCATATTTAATCTGAATTCTACCAATATTGGTTATCTGGTAATTATCGGTTAAAATTGTCATTGCTGCACCGTCGTTTAAAGCCTTATCGTTATAGTATTTTATATGTTTCGCGTGAGTTTTTGAATTGGCATTGGGTTTTCGGTATTACAGTTATCTGATAACACCGAATTCAAAAACTAATTTTTATCTGTTGTCTCAGAATTTATGAGAACAGCTATAATGAAAAGAGCTGTAAAGTCCGCAATATGGTTAAAATTTTCGGCCACAGGTATAATACACGTCACTATTGAAATAGATTGATTAATATCAAAAAAGTACGTAACATAAAATAGTGATTTTAACCTTTTCATACTATACTGATTAAAAAAATTAAATAGTTTCACCTTATATAAACTTTTTTTATTTTTTATTTTTTTTTTTTACAAATCTCTTCCGCATGATTTTATGATTTTATCTTGGTGTTTCTATACATTGATACACTGAATGTAGTTCACTATAACACATAGCCATAGCTGTGACCCTTGCGCAATCTAAGTGGCTGCACTATGTCGTATATTCTAAATCTGCCAGATATGCAACTTATACCTGAAAGATCTTATATCTTCAATGAATTATTAATAATAAATCGTAGTGCTGCAAAGGACAAATATGAACTGGCAATATAGATGCAATTATTCCAATATTATCAACAATATTTCCAATTTATTCTAAGGTTAAACTTACAAGCAAATTATCTATTTTCAAAACCCTTTCGAAGCAAGTTAACAACGATAAGCTACGCATTGTTTATAGATAGCTCTTCCACAAAAATTGTACCTGTAGTTTTTTTTTTACCAAGAGTGTTGTAGTTTGGGTTGGGTTAAAATAACTTTGCACGTAGTAGTAAAATTTCACGAGGAGCATTTTAATTAGGCTGCGGATGGCTTCTTAGTTAACACTTCGAGTTATTTCTGGTTTTTTTTTTTTTTTTGTAAAAAAAGTGGTTTCTATTGTTTACGTTACACCTAATCTTGAAAATTTGATTGGTCAAAAATCACGGGTGAACAATTTTTTGTGGGGATACAAATCTATGAAAAATTTTCAAACGATTAGTTGATAGATCATTTTATTCAACTAATCAACTAACCCAATCAATTAGTTGAATAAAATAATAAATGAAACTTGGTAAAATACACGTAAAGTAGAAACTGAAACAGTCGGTTTTATATTCTTATATGACCAGTTGATTAATTTACCAGTCGACAATCGACTAATCGATTAATCATTAGTTTGCCAACCGATTAGTCGATTAATCTTATTGTGCTCTGCAAAAAGATGTGGCCTCTGCAGATCACAATGCCGCGTGGGAATAGAAAATTCTATAGATTTTAAGAATTTTACCGATTTTAAAGAAATATAAATGTAATCGCTCGAAAAATATAAAGTAATAGACAATCTAAAATCTCAGAAATTTTCTCCGACTAGTACCATAAAAATCATGTGGCCACATCTTTTTACAAAGCGTTATAATCGATTAATCGACTAAGTTGGGTTTGTAAAATTCAAATCGAGGGGTCCGTTAAAGCCAGGTGCGTTTGGTATAAACTTGGAAATGATCTACATGTTGCATAAATTATCTTCTTGATATTTACATAAACCACTAACCATTACTGCATCAAAAACGAAACCCTAACTGCATCAAAAAAGTAATTCTAACGCACCTGGCTTTAACGTTCCCCCAAATCGAGTAATTTGATTTTCGATTTGTATCACTAACTGTGGCTGCAGGTCTGAAAATCACTTGATTTTTATTGGTTTTTTTCTGCAGGAGTTTGCATTCGAATTGCTTAGAAATACAGTTTGTTTTTTTTTTTTTTTTTTTAACAATGATGATGAATCGAACTAATTGGTTTATCGTGATACCCCTCGAAATTTTTGATATGATCTTGAAGGATCACTTTGTTAACGTATTTTTCAACCGCAAGAGTATTTTGGATTTTGATCCATACAAAGTTTTTTTAAAAGTATCTTCAATTGATACTTTCTTTCGTGAAAGATTTTTGTTCTTTCTTCAAAAAGCTTTTGAAGCATCAGAATGGAAAAAGGAAGGCTATCTAGTGATCTTGAATGAAGATGATCAAGAGGAAGATGTTGATATGAATTTTTGGACTGTGTTTTTACGTTGGGTAAAATATCAAGGTGACTATGTTAAATTCGCGGAAATTGGTCCCAATAAATATTTCACGAGGGATATCCATATTTTTTTCTTAGAAGTGAGAGATCGAATGTACACGAACATTAGTGACAACATGAACATGATAAAGAAATGTAAATTATCAGGTGGAAATAAAGTTTGCAATTTAAAAGGGGGTTGGTACGAGAATATCCGTGACACAATGTATAGGATGATCAAAAGAATATCTACAGGTGGAACAACTGGTGGAATGGATGGTAGTTGCGATTTAAGAGGGGGTTGTTTTTACGAATTTAAAATGTGTCTTTGGGATCTTGAAGGAATTTATGAGGATGAAAGTGATACATGTACATATTTTAAAGAACTTCATAGGCTATTAGATGAAATGAATTCGTGTGAACAGATCATTAAGATGATCGATGAAACTTTGAACTCTTATAGTTATTATAGGTTTAATGTTAGATGGAAGGAGATGAAAAACTAATTTCAGATTAAATTTCTTTGGTATTTCTTGTAAATGAAAACAAAAATCGATGATTATCAATGTTAAATAAAAATTGATTTTGCTTCTCATAAATTTAAGTATTTATTGATTGAATGTATTATTTATCTTTTATCATTTTAGTTGTAATTATAATTGTGATTTTTAATAATTTCTCGATATACATTATTAGGAATCTTTTTGGCCAACATTTAATATAAGGTGTTTGAAATTAATCTTCGTTTAACGTTAGCCCCTCCTTTCGTTTTCCGAGTCCCCTAAAATTAAACAAATAGAAAAAGCAAAAATACTAATATATTGGTTGGAATTGATTGGTATGGTATTCTATTAACCAACATAGAATATGAGTGTGGTCGTCAGAATTTTTCGTCACAATATATACAATATATGTTTATTTTTACGTCGGTTAATTTTCCCTTTCCTCTTGTGCAAATCTTAAAAAAAAAAAAAAACCTTAAATGAAGGTTTAATTTTAAACGAACTAAATAGTTTTGGCGAACAATTGTCGAATAAATAAAAAAGTTTGTCAAGATGACCTAATGTTTTGACCAAGATCATCGAGATACAATGATTAAAATCCTTTGTACGGTACTTAAAATATCTATTAATCTTGTTAAATGACAGACATACTTGGTTGTATTTAAAAAAAAAAAAAAAAACAAATTCGATAGACAAGTGAGAATATAGATGTGTAAGGTAATAACCTATTAAGTAAAAAATTAAATCACACTATGCGATAATTTACTGATTATATATGTCGCGGCTGAAGTAAATCGATCTAAAAATTCGAATTGATGATCGAAATCCCAAAATTGTTTTATAATAATATGGATTAATAATAATTAGAATCTCAAAAATTTTCTCCGGTCATCAATTATACAGAAATGAGAATCGATTAACGATTAAACCGATTTTCATAGAATCGATTTACAACTCTAGGCTGAAGCTTGAAATTTTAAATACTGTAATATGAAATTTTTAAAAATTTTTGGGGTGCATTTTTTTAGCTTTTTTTTTTATAGTTAGCTTAGGATTTAAGGTCAGTTTTGATAATAAAAATGTATAAGTAGATTTTGGTAGGTATATATTTTTTAAATCGAGGTTCTTAATTTCAAGTTTCAGCCGTTTCAGGCTTCAGCCGCCTAATATAATACTGTGATTTGATTTTTTACAATTACCTTATGTGAGAACCCTTAGGTATACGCCGATCTCAAGTTTGTGAAAACCAATTTTTTTTACTAAATTAGTCTTATTTACATCATTAGTTACGGCTCAATTGTGTTTTTATTTAATAAACCGATTTTTTATATAGGACGTAAACAAGTGATGTCATAAGTCAAAATTTTCGCAAATAAAAAATCTGGGACAGGTTATTATTAATCTCCGATCTCCGAATTAATCAACGTAAAAAAAAAAAATCATTAAAATTTGATTATTAATAAAATCATTTGATATTTTAATTTGATTATTAAAA